ACGCTTGAGCTCTAATCTTGTTCACAATTTTTACCACCAGTTTCATAACGTTGTTTAGTTTCAGGAAATTTCCCCATAATGCTTGCTGATGGATAATGCAGTGATAACAGAGAAATTGGGGAAAAGTTTCATCTTTACGACAACGCCACCAGACCCTTATCACAACCCACCATAGCGGAGCGCCATCGGTTGTCAAGCCTACCATTTTCGATATTGGAATTTTCTCGGAAGAAATAATATCTTTTAAATGAGAAAACAACTCCTGTCCAGTAGTGTGTCCTTTTAATGGAATAAACATCAAAATATCTTCTTTAATCGTAAAATCACTAAAAACCATCCTGACGAACACGGCCATTTGGGCAGTGTCAACGACATCTGTTGATTCATCCAGTTGAAGTGAAAAATAAACACAGTTATCTAAGTCAGTTCTTAACTGTAAAAAAATATCATTGCTCATTACTTCTACACGTCTCATCACTATATTAGCAGAAAGTTGCATAGATTTTATAGCTGAAACTATCTCGTCTTTATTTCTAAAGTTGGCAAATAACGAATCAGTAGCTTCTAAAAACGCCTGTTTTATCATTTCCTCGTCTTCATAAGGTTTCTTTTTTTGTGCAATTATCTGGGACACACGGTACAATGCTTCAGTTGCAGATTTATTTTTGTCGACTGTTCTTAAAAATATTGATTGTTGTCCAATTTACTGCTTTTTTAACTGTTTCAGTTTCTCCTTTCTGGCGGCAGAATGTAATGGGAATGATTTTTCAAAATTAGAATGTACAGTTTAATGATGTCTCTCAATATTTCCTTTTCTAGCAACAAAGACCGAAGTATTACATAACAAACACACATTTTTATCTTTAACTTCTGTAAAAAAGTATTGTTCTTCCCATTTCGAATAAAAGTGGTATGTCTTTACCTTCTTACAACTGCTTGCCATAATATTATTTTTTGTTGTTCTCTACTAACCCAACCGCTGGACGTTGGTTACGCGTTCAGTTTTAAACTAAGCGCAATGTCGCTGCGCCGTGTGTATTTATCCCGTTCAAAGCAATCCTGATCGTTCTCGAACACTAACGCGCTGGTCCGGCTGGTTGGTTCTAGCCGATCCTAGCTTGATGGCATCAGCGGCAGATCGCTCACCGCAACGTTGCCACTGTTTATGTTTAATATTATGACAATTAGATTTTTTTGTGGAATTTTCGGAAGCTTCTCTGATTTTTGCAGTTTGTATTTTTTAAATTAAAATCGTTGTGAGAGCTACCAGAATTGCCTCCGCGAGCTACGGGTAGCTCGCGATCGACAGGTTGGCGACCACTGTTCTAGGGTTTCAAGCGCTAGGCGCCCTCGACCAAGGAACCACTTGCAAAAATTCTTACTACATACGGTATTAATAGAATAAGGTTTCAAACTTCCGCTAATAGAATGAAATGTAATAGATTCAATTTGCCAATTTTTAATGAGCAATTCTATTTAAAAAAAGGCAGTGTATATAGATGGGTATTATCTGGTAGGCTAAATAAATAATGACCTAAGATGGACGTCCACTGGACGTCAAAATAATACTAAACTTAAAATTAAGTCTAAAAACTGACGTCCTTTGGGTATCATCAAATTAATGATCATAAATAGACGTACACTAGATGTCTGAATACGGATATGGATGTTCTGGCCCTCAAATGGATATAAAGTGATCGTCCATTGGACGAAGTGTGCTGTCTGGGTAGAATCACTGTCATTCATTAATTTTGAATTTTGCCACTTTTGCTCGTAAATTTCCAAAAGTTGGTTTTTAAATTATTGTTGTTGATTAATTTTTAATAACCAGATACCTCTTCTCAAACCAATTTTACAAGACACCACAGTAAGAGTAAACAATAATAATACACAATTGCCATAACTATAAACTCACTTTTCTAATAAATTAACCAAAGCAGATTGGTCAGTTTACATATTAACCGACGAGCTGGTTATTATGTATTACTACGAATAAAAAGTTCACACTTTATCCAGATATTCTGGATAGTTTGTAAACTAGCCAAAAATACCGGTTAGTTTGTGTACTTTTTTTGTGGTTTGTACTTTGGCGATAAATATTGTATAGTTTGTAAACTAGCTGGTTAGTATACAAACCAACCAATATTCATAGCTATTTTAGTAGAAATATAATTTTCCATTAAAATAGCAGGACATTTGGATAGTTTGTATCCTATCCAGCTAGTCTACAAACTAGCCAAGTAAACACTTTAACCGTAACATATATAAGTATTTTACGGATGAAAAAGAAAATGGCGGTCCTTTAAAATCGGTAATGTCTGTACAACAACGCGTATGCGATGCTCTAGAAATTAGTGAAACCAAATTTAGAGGAGTATTACAAAATCACAATAGTGAACTGCCGAAAGAAGATCACCGCAAAACTCGCCCATCATTGAAAACGAAAGATATTCCAACTGGAAAGAAATTTGAAATTCGTGATACCATTTATCGAATGAGGGCCAACAAGGAACATGTGACCTTAAATACAATTCTTTCGGAATTAATAGATAGAAAATTTGACGACATTGGCAGAACAAGTCTATGGCAAGTGATACATAACTTGGATTTCAAATTTCAAAAGGAGGATAACAGAAAGGCCCTTTCTGAAAGAAGTTCTGTCGTGCACAAGAGAATTAACTTTCTAAGAAAATATTTTAAATTTAAAGAAGAAGGGGCGAATTTTATATATTTAGACGAAACATGGATATTTTCTAGAGGTGCAACCAAGAGAATATGGCAAGATGATAACGTAAAGTCCATCAAACATACCGATGGAGAAGGGAAGCGACACATAATTTTACATGCAGGAGGGAAATTGGGTCTTATAGAAGGTGCTGATTTAATATTTTCATCTAAATCAAAATCCAGTGACTATCACGATAATATGAACACAGAAATGTTTGTAAAATGGTTGCATGAAAAACTTCTCCCAGGTTTAAGTGAGCCCAGCGTAATTATTTTAGACAGTGCACCTTACCATTCTGAAGTATTAAACAAAAGTCCAACGAATTCTTGGAGTGTTGATAAAATTAAAGAATGGTTGACAAAGGGACATATACTATTTCCTCAATATATATTAAAATCAAAATTATTACGCTTGACAAATATACACGCAAAACCAAAAACCTTTGTTGTGGATCAGATTATTGAAAGTTATGGTCATCAAGTTTTACGTTTGCCACCGTATTATTGCCAGTTTAATCCCATCGAATATATATGGGGAATATCAAAACAATATTATGACAACCATATTAGGCCTAATGGTTATAGTGACGACGCAGTTCGGGAAACTTGGCGAAAATCACTTACTTTCAATTGCAACTCCAGAAGTGTGGCGGAACTGTATATCCAAGTGCGAGAAACTAATAGAAGATTGGTGGACTCGTGAAAATAAAATAAACGAAATAAGTCCAATCATAATAACAATTGATGGTGATGACAGTGATGATGATGACGACGATTATGATATTTTGGATGATAATGACTGATTTTCATTTTTGTTGACAAGTTCAATTTTTTTATTTTTCATTTGAAATTCTCTGCATGGAACAAATTTTTATGTTAGAAAATATTTTATTTGAGCTAAATAACCCTCTTATTTATAGACCATATTTTCTATGTGAAGTGTAATATAAAATTATTATTAGGTTTATAATAGCCACATTATACTCCATTAATGAAGAAGTTTAATTCTGCTCTCAATTATACAAAAGATTCTCCATTATTATTTAATTAAAAAGTTGTACATTATTTTTCATTTCATTTAACCAGTTGATATTTCCCCAAAGAATAGGTCAAACTTTCGGGTACTTACCTGGAAATACTCATAAAATTTTTAATCCGAAACCCGCGTAAGTATAGCGAACAGGCTGTAATAAATTTATTTTAACTGCCTCACTTTTAACGCTACTTCAACTGTTGAATTTGTAATAACTCTCGAACTTTTAACCCTAAAACCTTTAACTCTCGAACTTACAATTCTTGAACGTTTAAGTTTCTTTTCAATCTTGCGCACTTAAATATTTCACAACTCTTGTTCTTTTAAGGCCGTTTTGGTACTTCAAGATTTAGGAGTCGTTTAACACACGAGCATTTAAGTTTTCTTTAACTCTCGAACATTTATGTTTCTCTTAATTTTTGTATTGGTAAAGCTCCTTTAACTTTAGAGTTTTCAGGGTAATTTTAATTTAAGTATCTCTTAACTCTAGATACTCTCAATGTACAGGTACCATAATATATTTTAAAAGGGGTAACAGCTCCTATATTAATTTCATATCCCATGTATTGGATTTTATGCTAGGAATACTAAAAAAATTAAAGTTAAGAAGACCAAGTAGAACGTTTAACTTTATGGCATTTAAGAGTATCCTTTAACATTTAACTATCGAACAATTAAGTATATATTTATTAACTCTCGAGTTTTTAACTTTCGAATTCTTAACTCTCGAATTTTTAACTCTCGAATTTTTAACTCTCAAGTTTTTAACTCTCGAGTTTTTAACTCTCGAGCTTATTTTTACCTTTCGAATTTTTAACTCTCGAATTTTTAACTCTCGAGTTTTTAACTCTTGAATTTTTAACTCTTGAATTTTTAACTCTCGAATTTTTAACTCTCGAATTTTTAACTTTCAAATTTTTAACTTTCAAATTTTTAACTTTCGAATTTTTAACTCTCGAGTTTTTAACTCTCGAGCTTATTTTTACCTTTCGAATTTTTACCTTTCGAATTTTTAACTCTCGAATTTTTAACTCTCGAATTTTTAACTCTCGAGTTTTTAACTCTTGAATTTTTAACTCTCGAATTTTTAACTCTCGAATTTTTAACTTTCGAGTTTTTAACTCGCACGTTTTGAACTTAGAGTTTTTAACTCTCGAGATTTATACTCTTGGGCTTTTAACTCTCGACTATCTTTTGTTAAATACTATAAAAAATGTTAATTTACCGTTATTTGTTGCAGGACTCCCTGGGAAGTCCCCCCTTGGACCCGGCGGGCCTGCTCTAAGCCATGCACTCGATATCCAGCACCCAATCGACGTTCGATAATAACAATGATATCAAAAAATCAATCGAAAAAATGAGCGACTCGAGCAAGTCCAGCTACCAGGCCATCAAGTCGACGGAGTCGCTTCATTCCACCAAAAAATCAAAAAAGAAGACTGGCGTTCACTTGAACAATCTCTGGTCGATATGGTACGGGGTGTTCTTTACCGGCATGCAGGGTTATACGGCCTACAAGTGCCTCAAAAGGATATTAGGTGAGTAAATTTTTTATTCTCGAGCTTTTCAGTATCTTTTTACCTATTTTCGAATTTTTCAACTCTGGAGTTTTTTAACTATCGAATTTTTTTACTCTCGAATATTTTAACTCTCAAATAATTTAACCTTCGAATATTTAGGTATTCTTGAGCCCATAAGTATCTTTTTTAAATGTTTAACTCTCGAGCTTTTCAGTCTCTTAACTCTCGAATTATTTATTAAGTAAACCTTAACTCTCGAGCTATTTTTCAATATAAATTTTCAACTCTCGAATTTTTCAATTCTCTAATTTGTTCAACTCTTGAATATTCTCGAGCTTCTCAGTAACTCTTTATCAACTCTCGAATTTTACAATCTTCGAATTTTTTCAACTTTCGAATATTTAGGTACTCCTTAGCTTATAAGTTTTTTTTTTAAATGTTTAACTCTCGAGCTTTTCAGTCTCTAACTCTCGAGTTTTTAAATATCAGTATATTTTTTTATCACAAATATTTAAGAAGTACTTTCGATCTTTTCAGTATCTCTTTAACTCTTAAAATTTTCAATATTAGAAATTTTCTACTCTCGAATATTTCAATTCTTTAATTTTTCTCAACTCTAGAATATTCTCGAACTTCTCAGTAGCTCTTTATCAACTCTCGAATTTTTCAACCTTCGAATTTTTCAACCCTTGAATTTATTTAACTTTCGAATATTTACATATTCCTTAGCTCATGTTTTTTAAAATGTTTAACTCTTGAGCTTTTCAGTCTCTAACTCTCGAGTTATTAAGTAAACCTCAACTCTTGAGCTTTTTAGTATATTTCTATATTTCAGAATCTCTTTAAAAACTTTATAATTTTTTAACTCTGACTATTTCAACTCTCGAATATTCTCGAGCTTTTCAATATCTCTTCATCAACTCACGAATATTTCAACACTCGAATATTTAGGTATTCTTGAGCTCACAAATATAATTTTGAAATGTATAATTCTCGAACTTTTCAGTCTCTTAACTCTCGAGTTATTAAGTAAACCTCAACTCTCGAGCTTTTCAGTCTCTTAACTCTCGAATTATTAAGTAAACCTCTCTAGTTTTCAGTATATTTAATATCACGAATATTTACTAAGTACTCTCGACCTTTTCAGTATTTCGTTAACAACTCTTGAATTTTTAAATATTACAAATTATTAGCTCTCAAATTTTTCAATTCTCTAACTTTTTTCAACTCTTGAATATTCGAGCTTCTCAGTAACTCTTTATCAACTCTTGAATTTTTTAACCCTCGAATTTTTCAACCCTCGAATTTATTCAACTTTCGAGTATTTAGGTATTTCTTACCTCAAGTTTTTTTTTAATGTTTAACTCTCGAGGTTTTCAGTCTGTAACTCTCGAGTTTTTAAGTAAACCTTAACTCTCGAGCTTTTTAGTATATTTAATATCACTAATGTTTAAAAAATACTCTCGACCTATTCAGTATTTCGTTAACAACTGTTCAATATTACAAATTATCAACTTTCGAATTTTTCAATTCTCTAATTTTTTCAGCTCTTGAATATTCTCGAGTTTCTCAGTAGCTCTTTATCAACTCTTGAATTTTTTAAGCCTCGAATTTTTCAACCCTCGAATTTATTCAACTTTCGAGTATTTAGGTATTTCTTACCTTATAGGTTTTTTTTTTTAATGTTTAACTCTGGAGGTTTTCAGTCTCTAACTCTCGAGTTTTTAAGTAAACCTTTAACTCTTGAACTTTAAAATTTTAAAACTCTCGAATTTTTCAATTCTCTAATTATTTAACTCTCGAATTTATCAACTCTTCTATATTTGGGTACTCTCGAGCAATTAAGTAGGTATATGTTTAAAGGGCCGGTACTTTCTGCCTCTGATTAAACACACGATTACGAAATCAAGTGTTTAATTTAACCAATTGAGTACTTTATTACCATTTTAACACCTGATTTATAAGGAAGTAGTAGTAGTAGTTCAATTGAATATTTATTTTATTGGTTCAGTTGACACTGTTTTTTTATCAAAAGGCGACCGAAATACTGTGGTCACTTCAGCAGTCACAAAAATGAGTATATAAATTCATACCAACATAACTCTCGAATTTTTTCAACTCTCAAATTTTTCGTTAAATATTTAAGTATTCACGAACTATAAGAACATTTTTAAGTGTCTAACTCTCGAGCTCTTCAGTATCTCAAAAATCTTGAGGTATTAAGTAAACCTCAACTCTCGAGCTTTTCAGTATGTTTTATCTCACGAATATTTAAGTACTCTCGAGCTTTTCAGTATCTCTTTAGCAACTCTCCAATTTATCCAATCTCGAATTTTTTTAATTCTTGAGTTTTTTAACCTCTAGTTTTCAACTTTCAAATTTTAAGTAGTGTCGAGCTATTAAGTGTCTTTTTTAAGTGCCTAACTCGAGATTCTAACTATCTGTTAACTTAGAGTTATTAGATAAACTTCAGCTCTCGAATTTTATTATCTTCTATCTCTTAAATATTTAAGTACTTTTGAGCTTTTCAATAACTACCTATCTACTCTCGAGTTTTTTAACTCTCGAATTTTTTAACTCTTGATTTTTTTAATTCTCGAATATTTAAGTACTTTGGAGTTATTAAGTATCTTTTTTTAAGAATCTAAGTCAAGCTTTTTAGTATCTCTTAAATGTCAAGTTATGTAAACTTCGATTTTCAAAGTTTTCAGTACTCTAATAAATATTTAAGTACTCTCGAGCTTTTCAGTATCTTTTTACCAACTCTCCAATTTTTTCAATTCTTGAGTTTTTTAACCCTCTAATTTTTCAACTCTTAAATATTTAGGTAGGCTCAAGCTATTAAGTTTCATTTTTTAAGTGCCTAACTCGAGATTTTAACTATTTGTTAACTTTCGAGTTATTAAGTAAACTTCACCTCTCGAATTTTATTATCTTTTATCTCTCGAATATTTAAGTACTCTTGAGCTTTTCATTTATCATTTATCATTTATCGAATAATTTCAACTTTCGAATGTTTTTAACTCTCGAATTTCTTAATTCTCGAATTTTCAAACTCTCGAATATTTATGTACTTTCGAGTTATTAGCTTTTTAGTATCTCGTAAATTTCGAGTTAAGTGAACTTCGACTCTCGAGCCTTTCAGTATTTTTTATTTCACCGATATTTGCTATCGAGCTTTTTAGTATTTATTTATCAATTCTCGAATATTTAACTCTTAAATTTTCCAACTGTCGAAAATTTAGGTACCCATGAACTATTATTTATCTTTTTATGTGTCCTTTAACTCTCGAGCTTTTCAGTATCTCTAACTCTCGAGTTATTAAGTAAACGTTAACTCTCGAGCTTTTCAGAAGGTTTTATCCCACGAATATTTAAGTACTCTCGAGCTTTTCAGAATCTTTACCAAGTCTCGAATTTTTCCATTCTCGAATTTTTTCAACTCTCGAATATTTAGGTACTTTCGAATTATTAAATCTTTTTTAAAGCGTCTAAGTCAAGTTTTTTAGTATCTCTTAAATTTCGAGTTAAGTAAACTTCCACTATCGAGTTTTTCAGTATTTTTTATTTCACGGATATTTGCTCTCAAGCTTTAGTATTTATTTATTAACTCTCGAATATTTAACTCTCAAATTTTCCAATTGTCGAAAATTTAGGTACCCACTAATTATTAATTATCTTTTTATGAGCCCTTTAACTCTCGAGCTTTCCAGTATCTCTTAACTCTCGAGTTATTAAGTAAACCTTAACTCTCGAGCTTTTCAGTATCTCTTTACCAACTCTCCAATTTTCTCAATTCTTGAGTTTTTTAACCCTTTAATTTTTCAACTTTCAAATATTTAGGTAGGCTCAAGCTATTAAGTATCTTTTTTTAAGTGCCTTACTCGAGATTTTAACTATTTGTTAACTTTCAAGTTATTAAGTAAACTTCACCTCTCGAACTATATTATCTTTTATCTCTCGAATATTTAAGTACTCTTGAGCTTTTCAGTATCTATCTATCTATCTAATCTCGAGTTTTTTACCTCTCGAATTTTTTAGCTCTTGAATTTTTTAACTCTCGAATTTTTCTACTCTCGAATTTTTTTACTCTCGAATTTTCCAACTCTTGAATTTTTCATTTATCGAATAATTTCAACTTTCAAAGTTTTTCAACTCTCGAATTTTCTAATTCACTAATATTTAGGTACTTTCGTATCTTTTTTAAGGGTCTATCAAGCTTTTTAGTATCTCTTAAATTTCGAGTTAAGTAAACTTCCACTCTCGAGCCTTTCAGTATTTTTTATTTCACGGATATTTGCTTTTGAGCTTTTTAGTATTTATTTATCAACTCTCGAATATTTAACTCTCAAATTTTCCAAATGTCGAAAATTTAGGTACACACGAATTATTAATTATCTTTTTATGTGTAATTTAACTCTCAAACTTTTCAGTATCACTTAACTCTCGAGTTATTAAGTAAACCTTAACTCTCGAGCTTTTCAGTATCTCTTTAGCAACTCTCGAATTTTTTCATTCTTTAATTTTTTCAATTCTTGAGTTTTTATCCCTTGAATTTTTTCAACGCTCCAGTTTTTCAACTCTCAAATATTTAGGTAGTTTCGAGCTATTAAGTATCTTTTTTTTTAAGTGTCTAACGAAATTTTATTTATCTCTTAACTTTCGAGTTATAAAGTAAATTTCAGTTTTCAAACTTTCATTATCTTTTATCATTTGAATATTTAAGTACTCTTGAGCTTTTCAGTATCTCTCTATCTACTCTCGAATTTTTCATTTATCGAAATTTTTAACTCTCGGAATTTTTCAACTCTTGGATTTTTCATTTATCGAATTTTTTCAACTCTCGAAATTTTTAACTCCCGAATTTTTCAACTTTCTAATTTTTCAATTCTCCTGTTTTTTACCTCTCGATTATTTGGGTACTTTTGAGTTATTAAGTATCTTGTTTTAAGCGTCTGTTTCGATCTTTTAAGTTAAGTAAACTTAGACTCTCGAGCTTTTTAGTATTTCTTAACTCT